AAACTTTATTAATCCAAATAGAAATTGAAAACTAAATCCTAAGAAAACTTTAAATATAATATTATATAGAATTCTAATTAAAAATTAATTTAAAAACTCATAAACATAAATAGATTAAATCTCTTCTCTCTTAAATAGTGTAGAATTTCTTCAAACATTGTGCTTGCCTTGTCTTGGTCGGATTGAAATATTATTTTTCAATGAATTTTTTATGTAAACATTGTGTTGAAGATGAATAGAATTTCAGCCATATTTGAGTAAAAAATAACTCCTTTTTCTTGTGGGAATCAACTATAAAGGGGAATCTTTATCCCTTTGAACTTTCATAATTCAAACATGATTTCAACTCCTTTAAAATGCTAATTTATAAAAAAGAAACTGATAGGGACTCTTCCAAGATTGACTTCAAATTCCTTGAGGAAACTTATAGACAAATTCTACTTGAAATAGGACTCATAAAAACAATTTCTACCATGAGATGAAGAAGCATGTAATCCTAGGCAAAACTTGTAATAATAGAATTTTTCTATCTTATTTTGGCAAGAACTCTAAATTGATGAAGACTCTCGGTTTTGATGAAGTAGATCTCTTGAAACTCGATAATACTTGGTAGGATAAAGTTTCTTGAATCCTTATGAGATTTACTTGAAGTTAAAAGCTATTTATGAGGAGGATTGTATTCGGTTATAGAAGAATGAATATGATTAATATGCCTTAGAAGAGATGAGTGTCTAGGTATGAGTCTCCCAAATAAAGTAGACAGCTCTCTCATGTGAAAAACCCATGAGTTCACGATTGGGAGGACTCTTTTGACAATTTCATTATAATCATCTAGGTCATGGGATTTTAATGTGAGTTGCCCCCCTTCCCCCCCTACTCGCATGTTAAATGTGACCTTATTTTATATCGAGGACAATCTTGTTATGTAAAGATACTATGTATACTAATATTTTATTTTATTTTTTTGGTACATAAAGATGTTATATATGTATATATTGTTTCATAATATTTATGTGAAAAATAAATTTTTGAGAATATTTACATGACTGTGTTTAACATAAGCTACCAAATTTATTTATTTTAAGTGATTACTATTTTGTGTAAATATATTATATATCTATATCTATATCTATATCTATATTTTTTCTTTTTATATGGTAATGGCCAATTATTGAAATATTATTTATTTACTAGTTGTTTAGTTCATAAATCAATTATTTTCTTTTTCAAATCCTGTATATGAGATCTAGTCATGCATTGGAGTTTTGATATATATATATATATTTGTTAGAGATCATTCAAGATCTAAGTTACTTAAACATCATACCTTATGAATAAAGTTTTATCATAGAGTTATAATTAAATTTTATAAGGTTGATGAGAGAATAATTAAGTTTCAAAAAGCAAAGAGATTTTATACAATTTTTATAGTAATTTATTTTATCTCAATTGTATAATTTCATTTAATTTGTCAGTTATTGTATATTTATGAGATTCTTTATGAATATTGGGAATTATAACCTGTCTAAACATTGAGTTTAGAATGTCACAATTAAACTAATATATAATACTAGAATACTTAAATATTTAAGAATGTATATCTAAAATTAAATATTAGTTCTTTATTTAGTAATAGCAAATGTACTTCTATCATTTTGCTAAATCTCAAAATTTTTCTCCTTCGCGTATATAAAAGGTGATAATTATAGATTTTTTTCTTTTTAGTTTTTAGTTTTTTAATCAAATAGAAATGAGGCGTTAACAAAACATAAAATTCACATCATTTATACTGTATTTATGATTAGTTTGCTTGACCAATATTTATTTAATTGAAAGCATTTATGATAGTTGCACTTTTTCTAAAAGAACTCTCTAAATCAAGTACCCTTGATCACCCATAACTTATTTACTTAGGAATGATAGATCCTTAGCTGGTACTCATTCACCTTCATAATCAACTCAGACCACATCCAATAAGTATTAATTCTATCATATAAGACCTTTTATAGATTGCAATCACCTCAAGTCTGATGAATAGTCTACTTTCTTGCCATGATAGATCACCTTTGGTTTACAAGAAAGTTACAAGAAAGGTGATTGTAAGCTAGTTTATTTAATTTATTCTTGATTTTACATCCACATAATTCCTCTTACATCATCAGCATAAAATAGTAATAATATAGATCGAATCTCTTAATATAAATATAAAGTCTACCAATCTACTCTAGCCCATGAATGTTCCTTGTTTTTATGACTAGAAATCCTTTTATAGAAATAAAAAGCTAGATACCTACTTTTGCCATTTAACCTTATTGTTGAATCAAGATAAAGATTTGGTGATGGTGCATTTATGGTTGATGGTTAACAAGGTAGTGTTTTTTTAAATGTCAACATATGATCGATAAATAATAGTAGAACGATGCTCAATTTTTCTTATCCTGTATTTCGTGAAAAATATATTATCACACTAGCGATCTGCTATTGAAAACAATAATGAGTGACTCTATTGTACCAGCTGATAATTATGTGATTAAAGATGACAATTGTGGTCTCTTCTTTAGGTGTCTAATGTTCTTCACTTATGTCTTTTGTCTGCAATTTCTAGTCTTCTTTTTCAATATAGTTAGTGGATCTAGTTTAGATGATAGCTAATCAAATTATATTCTTAGTTCGATTGCAATAGATCATCATAGACCTGGATTTTATACTAACATAGACAAAAATGCGAATAAATTTGCTAGGTCTTATTAAGGCTCACACTAGGTGCTCTCAAAGCATGTAAGCTAGATGAATAACTTAAAATTAAATAGGACTTTCATATCACCCCAAAAAAAAAAAGCTTTTAGAACCGACAACAAAATATCTAGAGTTCTTGTATTTGTAATACTAATTAATCTAGTAAATAAACTATGATTAAATTTTTAATAAAAAATTATATATTTTATTAATTATGCAATACATATTGCATACCAATGATAACATAAGCTTCTAATGGCAACATACATAATAAGCACTTGAATCTATACTCTGTAGAGAGGAGCAGAAGTACCCATCATCCATCTAACAAATAATTAGTTATGATTGAATTAATTTATAATACTACAATATTAAATGATTTAAGAATTTATATCTATCAAAATATTAGTTCTTTATTTAACAATAATAAAGTACTGCTATTATTCTTCTCGGCATAAAATGTTTCTCCTTTATATATATATATATAAAAGGTGAAATCATGGATCTTTTTCTTTTCTCCTTTATATATATATATATAAAAGGTGAAATCATGGATCTTTTTCTTTCTCTTTGTGGCATCTAGTTCTTTTATTTAAATATGCATTTATATTATATTATTGTAGTTGTTGCAAGATGTTCGAGGAAATACCCACTAAGTTCAAGATGTTATGTATAAAAGTAGAAATATTAATCAAGTTCAATATGTAAGTCCCTTATTAAAAGTTAAAGGAGCTAATTATATAATTTGAATGGGGAAGAAAACAAACTCAGAACTGCTCATTGAAATGTTGTCTACGCATGTTTGAATGTTTTAGATCATTAAAGTTATTGAAGTCTAATTGTCTTTACTGTAAGAATAATGTTGGTATGATATTATTACTACAAAGGTGATGTTAATTTGATATCAATATTATAAAAATAGTATTTATTGACTGAGGTAAAAATAGATTAAAAAAAAATGACATATATGTCATTTAAATTATTGGCAATAAAATGACAGGAGATATTCTTCATTATATGCAAATCTAATATCGAAATCCTATATTAAATGTGTCATTGAAATTATATATATATGTATGTATGTATATATATATATATATCTGATTAATGCAATAATTACATGTTCCAAAAGTTAATAGCGGAGGTGGATGCACAACTTTTGTTTTGTTGTAAATGGGAAAACATCATAAAAGTAAGGCAAGGTACGATCTTCGAACGAACTTAAATGCCATTTATACGGTCCTCCTAGAAGTGCTTAAAGATGAACTTATTATTATTATTTTAAAAAATTTATTATATCTTTCAAGAATATATATGAGTTATTAACATCTCATCTTATATCTTACAAAAAATGTGATTGAAAATTTTCAAATTTTGTTCAAATAAATGTTCTAAAATGAATCAGTCATATTATAAGGTTTGATATTTTGTTTATATTCCTAATTATTTAGACCCCTAAAGCACCTACAATAATAATTATTTATTTTTATTATAGAGTAAACGATATTTAGAATTTTATTTGAGAACAATATTTCACTGCACCAAATTATGATCACACTCAAGTATTAATTATTTTAATTTGTTGTATTACAAATGATTTTAATGAAGGGTTTCATCAAACTCCAAGTTTGAAAAGTAAAGAGCTAGCCAGCTAGTATTATATTTTTATAACAAATACTATATATATGTGAGGCTCTCATTACGATTACTTGCCATATATATATATATATAATGCAAGAAATTAAAGGAGAGACTCTTCTTTTTTTTTAAAAAAAAAAAAAAGATAAAGAAAAAGGAGGGAGAAAGAGAAGATATGTACGTAAATATGGTGATGTTATTTATGTTTGTGAATATATAGAAACAGCTTGAATTGTTTGTATATATTTTTAAGGCCTTAAAAAGATGATAACGAGGAAGTTTAAAAAGTAAAAAGAAATAAATTAAAGAAGTTTAAAATGGCATTTTGGTAGTTTGTGCAAACAGCAGGCGTGAATCTGCGAACCATAATCGATAGAAATCATCCCCACGGAAATGTATGTCCAGAGACTGACTTTGCTCAGAAATCTGTAACGGAAAATGACAGTGCACTGCAAACATTACCACTCAAAACCCTAATCTTTGTTTTTCTTCTTTCTTTTTCTTTTTTTGTTTCTTATTAATGTCAAAAAATAAATCCTACCCAGCTACTCTATACTTCTCTTCTTGCTAACATGAACAAATAAATTAACAACTTCCTTTCCAAACATACATATATACTATAATGTTTCCACACGCATATAAATAATTGAAAAAATCTCATACAAGTCTATGAAAATTACTAGATTCACTGCATCTTACAAACTTAACATTGAAATCATACACACATTAATTCACCCACCATAATATCATGTCTCTGTTGTTAATCAAGACGGTCCTAAGCGAAGCTCAAGATCAACTTCCTCCATGGCTGCTGAATGATCTGCTGTAATTAATCTGTTGGCGCTGACATCAGCCGACTTCACCCACGGGGATTGAGCTTTGGTAGACGTAGATGACGGTGACAATGTAAAATTCAAAGGTGGGGTTATCAAGTGGTGAGAAGGATAGGGTGAGATAGAAAGAATAGTCGAAGGTGAATCAATGGTATCACCAGTTGGAGCTGCTAAAATCCCTTTAGGGTTAGGCAATTGGTAGAGAAGACACAAACCGCCATTTGCAGTTAAGTCTTGAGTTGGGATTATCATTGAAGTTGCAGCACGACCGGGCGGTTGTGGAGCCGAACTCTGGTGGAGCCGGGCTCGGTCGCGGCGATGAACATTCATGTGACCGCCTAGGGCTTGGGCTGACCGGAATTCTCGTCTGCAGAAAGTGCAGGTGTAGGACCTTGGTGGCCATGTAGTACCCATAATGTTACCTGTGTCTTGCTCAAAAGCTCTAACCTCCCATGAGTCATCTTCTTGTTCCGCGACTTGCGTAGGGTTCCACATCCATGCGCCGGGCGATAAGCTAGCTATGTTTCTGAGCTGGGTCAAGGAGAGAAGGCCGAGCTCAGCAGCCATGATGATTGTAACATTTGATTAGATATATATACATAAAGGTGATGTATGTAGAGGTGTGATGATATGGAATTAAAATTGGGTAAAATGTGGGTTAAATAGGGAATGGTGGAGGAGAGGGACGGAGACAAAATAAAACCCTAACACCGGTGGTATCACCAAAAATTTGCAGGGAGCTCTTGGAATTTAGTAATATTCACATTATTATATGTTGCCCACCAACAATACCTAGTTATCTCTCTATTCTTTGGCTTCAACGCCAACTATTTTTTTTAATGGGTTTTTAAATAATATAATAATATATGTATATGTATATATTATATTATTTATTTCCTACCACTAGACCTGCAGCATACTTAGTTAAAGGATATAAAAGTATGTGGCTTTATCTGGTAAATAATAAGATATGCTGGCTATTTCATTTCTAATAATTTAAATCCAATTTATCATGATTAGATATACTTAAATAGATAACCTAAAAAACTTAACCATTCTTTGATTAAATAATTAAGAGTACGAATTCGAGTTAAATTTATTAATTTTATATATATATTTTTTTTAATTACATAATTTTATTATTAATACATAAATGTCACATAATTATAAAATTTTTTAAATTTATGTCCAGAATTCTATATGGGTTTTGCCAGTTTAGAGCAGGCATCCAGGAAATTGAAAAACCAATTAAATCAGATGAGCCCATGGAGTTTGATCGAACTGATTGATTCTGGTAGAGTCAACTCTCTCCTATTTTAAGACAATTATTTATTTATTATTATTAGTTTCGTAGACAAGTTTTTTATATAAATTTACAGACCTTTTTTCTGTTATACTACTTTTCTGACATATTTCTTTAGAATCTATTTACTGATATGTTTTTTTTTTTTTTTTGTTTTAAACACTAACATCTCGTTTGCCTGCAGTGATGAGTACCGAAAGAAATTGCTCGTGTAAAATTTTGGGAAAGGAGGTTAATTTAACATTGAGGGTATTATGAAGGGAACTGAAACTGTACTTACGTTTCACCATGTGAAAATTTTTGTTTAATAATTAAGGGAGAGTTTCATTTTTTTTTTATATTTTTTTTTATTACTTAAAAATTTGGAAAGTTTATTATATATACCTTCCGGCTTTTGTGAAACACATTAATTTTATACGTTCAAGAAAATATAATATAACGATACTATTAGTTTGTCAATGTTTGTTTATAGGGTGGAAAATATCCGATTTAGTTTTTTTTTTCTTCTTCTTCTTCTTCTTCTTTAACTAACACCTAATCCCATATGCTTTAGTCTCATAAAAATCTACAGCACCAAGAAATTAACTTACAGTAAAAGACTGTCAACAAAATTCTCTTTTATTTCCGATGAAGTCTTTGCAAATGACTCCAAGTGGCTGTTAGAATAAGTTTCTCTGAGGCCATAACAAACGGAATGTACGTGTTATTATAACTTTTGCCCCTTCTACAATAAAATTCCATTGACATAGAAACCTATACCAACGGAATTTTGTCTATATAGGTTTGGTTGTATAAGCAGAGTTGTCATTAGTAAAAATAATATAGACGACGTTGTATAATTTAAATTTTTTATTTATATTATTGATTAGATTATGAATATAATTATCCCAAAAATTTAAAGTAACTGTAAAACCATAAAATTGTAAATATAACTCAAATCCAATAAATTATATTTATTAAAAAATGTTCATAAATTGAATTTATACTTCAGAATATCAAACATACAAATTTTTACTCTGAGAGTACTATCATTTCTATACAATTCATAACCTAAAATTTACAATTTGAACTCCACAATAATTAATAATCTTTAGTAGTACTTCAAATATGAAAAAAATAAAATAAAAATTATTTTTAGAATACAAATTACAAGATTGACAAATATACTATGGATAAAAACATGAAAACGATAAGACATATCTACCTAACAACAAAATATCATCCTAAATCTGAATTTTCAATTTTAAACTCATTTTCTAAATTCCCTTCATCTGGTCTAAGCCTCAAATCTGTAGATGGCAATTTTTCCTGCATATAAAAAATTGAATGGAATAGTGAACTCAAATGAAACAATTCCACTCAATGATCTTGCCTCCTACAGCTACTATTTTTGTAAATACATCTTCTCATCTACCTCCACAAGTAAAAGTGTTACGAATGTGAAGATGAAGCTTTGAACAGGTGAATTAGTAAGAGAAGCAAGAAATTAAGAAAAACTAAAAAATCGGAAAGGTACTAGTTTGCATTTGGAGGTCTTTCTCAAGAAGCTATTAATATGCATTTGAAAAATTTACTAGAGATTTACAATACATTCAAATAAAATGAAGTTTTTCGAGGATGTCGTTCGGCTTAAGCTTTTCCCCTTTCTTTTTAATAGATAAAGCCAAGATTTGGTTAATTTCCTTGCCACCAAGATCCATCACCATAAGGGAGGACATGTTGTAGAAGTTTCGAGGTAAGTACTTCCCTCTTAAAATAATCAAGTTGTACAATGAAACTATAATGATTGTGCAGGCCAATAATGACTATCTCTATTACACATGGAAAGATTCAATGACTCATTAAGAAGAGTCGCACATCATGTTATACTAATATGGCTCCAGGTATTAATTTTTATAATTTCTTAAGTTGTTCTACTTGTAGAACTCTTGATGTAGCTACAGGTGGAACAATAATGGAGAAGAAACTCAAGAAAACTTCTGAGTTATTGGAGGAGATGACAAAAAATTCATACCAACAACCAACTGAGAGGCAACCAGTTAAGAGAATTGTGAGGGCACACATTATTGACCCAATTAATGCTTTAGCAACATAAGTTGAGTCATTAAACAAAAAGATTGACGGATGGCAATTATCTTTGTAAATCTTTTGTGATCTTTATAGAGGGCATCATCCTAATCATGAGTGTCGGGTTGTTTCCTTCATCTTTGTTTTTGTAAAATACTAATTTTGTTGGTAACTTTAATTGGGAAAATAACCCTATAGCAATACTTAAAACCTAAAGAGAAAATTTTTCCTAAACTTTATTTTTTCAAAATCAAAGGAATGCTAGGCAACCACCTCCTGGCTTCCAATCGCAAGAGAATAAGGTTAACTTGAAGGATATGATAAATGTTCATAAGTATGAGGAGGTGAGATCTTAAAATCAAGAGTCCACCTTACTTAACTTAAAAAAGGTAGATTATGAAATTGGCAAGTTTGGTGTCTAAAATAAGTCAATGAATAGTCCCAAGGTATATTAAGAAAAAACCCCATGGAGCGACTAAATACGGTCATACTATGAAGGTAAGGAACAATTACAAGTCTATCCCAAAGAGGAAGGAAGTGATGAAAAAAAAACTTCCCAAGGAAGAAGAAGTGTTAACCATTAAAGAAGACTTGAAAGAAGAAACATTACACATTTTCAAGGCAAAGGACCATACTTAAGATGAGTTTCCCTCGAAGCTTAAGGATCCAAGGAGCTTCCTTAACTATTCTACCACTACAAATAAATGTTTTAAAAATGCATTGTGTGTTTTAAGTACAATTGTCAATTTGATGCCTCTGATCGCTTATAAAAAGTTTGGACTAAAAAAGATGACAATAATATAGATTGTTTTGCAAATGGATGGTAGAACCACTAGTAACCCACAAAGGGATAGTTAAAAATATCTATATCAAAGTGAGTAAGTTCACTTTCACCTAAAGATTCTATGGTCCTAGATATAAAGGACAATAGTAGTATACCATTCATATTAGGAAGGCCATTTCTTGGTATAGGAAGAGCATTAATGGATATACAATAAGGGAAATTAACCCTAAGAGTGGACATAAAAGGGTTAGTGTTTGATGCATAAATTCTCCTATAATCTAAACATTCTTTCTTATTTATAGTTTGACATGGTTGAGGAACAAGATGTGGAGATAGATGTGAGAAAGTTAAAGAATAATTACAAGTTTATCCCAAAGAGGAAGGAAGTGATGAAAAAAAACTTCCCAATGAAGAAGAAGCTAAAAAAAAGTGTTAACCATTAAAGAAGACCTGAAAAAAGAAACATTATACATTTTCAAGCCAAAAGACCATACTAAAAGTGAGTTTCCCTTGAAGTTTAAGGATCCAATGAGCTTTCCTAACTGTTCTACCACTACAAATAAATGTTTTAAAAATGCATTGTGTGTTTTAAGTACAAGTATCAATTTGATGTCCCTGACCACTTATAAAAAGCTTGGACTAAAAAGATGACAATAATATAGATTACTTTGCAGATGGATGATAGAACCACTAATAACCCACAAGGGATAGATAAAGATATCTATATCAAAGTGGATAAATTAACTTTCACCTAAAGATTCTGTAGTCCTATATATAAAGAACAATAGTAGTATACCATTCATATTAGGAAGGCCATTTCTTGGTATAGGAAGAGCCTTAATGGATATACAAGATGGGAAATTAACCCTAAGAGTGGACATAAAAGGGTTAGTGTTTGATGCGTAAATTCTCCTATAATCTAAACATTCTTTCTTATTTTTAGTTTGACATGGTTGAGGAACAAGATGTGGAGATAGATGCAAAAAAAGATCTTCAAGAAGAAAGATACGAGAAACTAATTATGCAATTCAAATAAAGATATTTTAAGGATAGAAAATTTAAAGAAAATAGATATCAGATAGAAACTAAGTTAGAGAAAATTTCATGAACTAGGAAGTGATACAGAAAATCTAGATTTTAGTATACAGAGACAACCCTACATAGTGGAAATTAAAATCTTACCTTATCATTTAGACTTTGATTTTTTAAAAAAAAATTAATTTCTTAAAAGCCATTGATTTTTTTAAAGTGGCATGTAAAGAGGAGGAAGCTTGATAGAAGATCATAAACCACAAGAAAAGTTACTAGCTAATTGGATTCAAGACTAATAATGTAATGTGCCTGAAAGTGCAAAGTCAAATTAATGACTATAACTTAAAACTATTTTTATTTTTATTTTTATTATTTATTTATTTATTCACTTGTATTAAGAGATTTTCCTTAGTGATTTTTTTTCTTACATTGGTCATATCTTTTGTTTTAATTTTTTTCTAAAATATAAAAATTTTAAATAATTTTTTAGCAACAGGTTCTCATTGTAGCATAAAACTCTTTAGTTTTAGTGCAAGACACAGTGATGGTCAATTAACATGTC